GCGTCGTCAAGGCGGGAGAAGCAGCGGTACGGGGTGTGGAACCTCCCACACGTCTGTCCCTTGCGGTCACCTGTGCGAATGACATAAGAACAGCGGGCACTGGCCCCCGACGTCCCACGCTGAGCAAGCCACTCACGAAGCTGCTGGGTCGTCTGGGGACGCTGCTGCTGCTGGGAGCTCTGGCCAGAGCCAGTGCCTCCACTCCGACCTCCGCCGCCACCACTACCACCGCTCCGACCGCCACCGCCACCGCCACCACCGCCACCACCGCCGCCGCCGCCACCGCCGCCGCCGCCACTACTGCCACTGGTCCCTCCGCCGCCCCCGTCTCCACCACCGACCCCACTCCCACCAGCGCTCCCGCCACCGCTCCCTCCAGCACCGCCTCCCCCCCCACCTCCCCCACCTCCTCCCCCCCCAGCGCCACCACCACCACCCTTGCCCCCCTTGCCCTTGCCGGTGCGGCGCCTCCCACCAGGAGTAGAAGCAGCGCCAACAGACTCAGCACCAAGGAAGTCAACAGCAGCAGCAGTAGCATAGGAGGGAGCGAGGGGAGAGGGAGAACACCCCTCAAAGATGGGGGTGCGAGGAGCGCCACGAGCAGCACCAACAGCTACAATGCTCTTTTCGGCCGCGAGCAGGTGCTCCTCTAGGAGGGCGACTGTGAGCTCAGTGGGACAGCGAGCAAGGAAGTGGTCTCGAACTGAGCGGAGGGTGTCAGGGAGACGGGTGACTATGAAGTGGAGTGTCCAGTACAGTGGGGGGGGGTTCTTAGCGCAGAACTCGGTGGGAAGGGCGGCACGCAGGCGAGCATCACTAGTGCGAAGGTGGGTGATAAGATCGGCGACTGTAGTGAAGGTGGACAGATCGGGGAACAGGTACGGCAGCATGAGGCGGCTAAGCTCGGCTGTGGCAGGCGAGGAGTAGCGAGCGACGACAGCGTCGTAGAGGGCCTTAGCGGATTTGCAGTCGCCAAAATGCTCTAGCTCAGCTAACGGCAGGTGACTGCGAATGGCTAGGCGAGCAGCTGCGTCACGAGTCTGCCAGTGGGAACGAACACTAAGCTCAGCTGTGGCAGGAGGGGCAGGCGCAGCACCAGACGCGTAGTCATAGAGCGACACATGCTCCTTGCTATCGCTCAGGAGAAACAGCTGCAGGTCATCTAGCCAAGCGGTGAAACGCACAGGGCGGCCCTCAGCATCGAACGACAGCACGCGAATGGAAGCCATAGCGACAGTGTGACAGAGTAACGAAAGCTGCCGCAGCAGGGGAAGACGACTGTGCACGGATAGAGAGCAGCGGGCGAGGCTGGCGCTACGGGCAGGCGGCGCTGCAAGCGGTCAGTGCGACGGGAGGGCGACGCTGCGAGCGGGCAGCGCGGCGGACGGGCCGGAAAGCGGGCAGCGCGGCGGGCAGCACGGTGGGCGGGCGACGCTGCGAGGGGGGGGGCGGGCCGCAAAGCGAGCAGCGGGCGGGCGGGCGGGCTGCGAAGCGGGCAGCGGGGCGAGCGGGCTGCGATGTGAGCGGGCCGCGAAGTGGGCAGCGAGCGGGCGGGCGGGCTGCGAAGTGGGCGGGCCGCGAAGCGGGCAGCGGGGCGAGCGGGCTGCGAGGCGGGCGGGCCGCGAAGCGGGCAGCGAGCGGGCGGGCGGGCTGCGAAGCGGGCGGGCCGCTCAGCGGGCAGCGAGCGGGCGGGCGGGCTGCGTAGCGAGCGGGCCGCGAAGCGGGCAGCGAGCGGGCGGGCGGGCTGCGAGCGGGCGGCTCGGCGAGGGGCGCGCGAGGGCGCTAGTGAGAGGCGCGCGAGGGCGCTAGTGAGGGGCGCGCGAGGGCGCTAGCAAGGGGCGCGCGAGGGCGCTAGCAAAGGGGCGCGCGAGGGCGCTAACGAAGGGGCGCGCGAGGGCGCTGACGTGGGTGCGCGCGAGGGCGCTAACGAGGGTGCGCGCGAGGGCGTAACGAGGCTAGGGAACGGGGTAGCGTGGTAACCGCATGCGAGCGGTGGTGGGCCCTAAAAAAAACGATCGGTAGGTCCTAGGGACCTCCTGCTCTGAATACCATATCAGAATTACTAGGCAAGAATGGATGAACTAACAGGAGTTTGGGTACAAATATGAAACCCTAGTTGGGGTTGTACCCCATATTGGCTACCCCACTACAGCCTACAAGCATAATACAGTTTAACAACGCCACGTCATGGAGAACACCTGCAGAGGCAAATTTGGTAGGTCCTGGGTCAGCGCGTGGAAGAATTCGCGCTTCGCAAGGGTAAAAATGTACGCGTTATTTCAACGTTCGCTACCATGTATTGTATTTTCGATTATAAGACATATATGTCTTATCTCGTACACACAAATAGGTGTCTTATAATGAGGCTAGCCTGTTTATAAGAGACACCCGTATAGTAGACAACCCCTGTCTACTATTCAACACTGTCTTATATCCGGGCGTTTACGGTACGACGAAATCAATGCTCTTCATGTGAAATCGCAAATCCTCGCTGCAGGTCGACTGAAGCCTCCTTAAAGCCATTCACAATTTGCAATGTGTGGTGTTGTGTGTCACCTAACGAAAACCATCGCAAACAAGTGGCGAAACCAAATGTTCGATCAAACAAGTAACCAAACGCTTGTTCAAAACGATGTTCCACGCTCTTATCGAGGCTGGCCTGACCGACAAGGGGCGGGCAAAAGAGCCAATCAGGTTGTGTATCCCCACCCCACACTGGCTCGAGAAAATCGTATTCCGTGGCCCTTGTGATAGTGCAACGTTGACCCGTTAGATGCTGTAGTACAGTAATGTAAAATTGCAACTGAGGAGCGGAATCTGCCCCTACTGTACAACCATCACTCCGACACTGTACAGTATTCTCTTGGATTTTTCCCTGGCTGGACTGGTCCCCCCTCGGGTTTGCATCCTGTTCTCGATTATTTCACAGGGGTTAATCGCACACCCTGGAGTATTTACCCTATGTCCATCATTTTCGTAGGGTAGTTTCCAACAGAAGATGAAAACCGCGGAGGAGGTTCCGACTACTCGCGATCTGTAGGCCTGAACACAACCATTAAGTGCGAGTTTCTTTCTAGGATTCCGTCAATTTCGTTGTTTAATAATAGTCCCTCAATTTCTGGAGGTCCGTCGCATCTAGTCAAAGACCGAGAAGGGTACCCAGGAAAAAAAGGAGTAGGGGTGTGCAATTATCGAGAACAGGGTCAAACTGGACGCACATCACAACCACTACCAGTGGTCCTAAAAATTCGCCGTCCACTCACGCTCAGTTCCGTTCCGTTCCAAGCACTAGGGCTCTAGTCTAGAACCTGGCGTCTATGATTAACTAGCGCGTAGCGCCCAAAACGACTCCGCTATTTATAGGGTCGTTTGTACGCCATTGTGCGCGGTGACGAGTAAGTCGCGGTGCGATGGCGATCGATCCCGATGAGATCCAGGTCGGGCCGCAGGCGTCCATATTCGTCGTGCTTGCGACGCTCGCGCTCGGCGCTGGCGCATGCACGCTGGGCCTCCTCGCGATGCTGCTCCCGTCTTCTGTGAGTACCACGTAGCGCGCCGTCGTTAACCGCTCAGTACCGCTCATTATCGTAGCATCTCGTACATGCCGCCTCGGCCTCCTCGCGATGCTGCTCCGCTCTTCTGTGAGTTACACGCAGCGCGCCGTCTGTAACCGCTCATTACACCTCATTATCGTAGCAGCTCGTAAATTCGGCCTCGGTCGCTTCGCAATGCTGCTCTTGCTTTCCGTGAACAACGCGCAGCACGATAACCTAAGACGTCCGCTAATGACCGTCGTTGTCGTCGTCCTGGTAGCTGCGCGTCGATAACCGCTCAATACCGCTCGTTATCGTGACAGCTCGCGAATGCAACCTCGACCTCCTCGCAATGCTGCTCCTCTCTTTCGTGAAAGGCACGCAGCACGATAATCGAAGCCGTCCGTTAATAATCATCGACGTCGTTAATCTACTAGCCCTCTCGTCGTTAACCGCCCATTACCGCTAGTTACCGTAAAATCTCACAAATGCGGCCTTGGTATCCTCGCTATAGATCCTCCGCTTTACGCTTTTAGACGACATACCATCACCGTAATATTGTCGCGTATCGGCGTGGAAAGACTGGCTTTTTTTCTGTGTAAGCCGCTCGCAACGAGGCGCGCGCGTTAAGCTTGAATAATGTCGTTACGTCTAGGTCAAAGTAGCCTTCCGCTTTGTCAGCGCGATGCACATTTCGCTTCGCGTTTAGAACCTATGGCTTTCTGTTTACATCGAAAGCATTTGGGACGCCGATTTCTCCTTGCATTAGGTCACAATAGTCTCGTGGGCTGCGAGCAACTACTATTATTAAGACGCACATTTCGTTTCACGATATGTCCTAGTGGATTATCCCTTTCCGTGGAAACTTCCTAGAAGCCGAAATAACGTAGCATTTGCATAAGGTCAAAATGGCTTTTCTCGGTTTTGTCGGTATCGTTGTTGGTGCGAGTCCGCGCATTACGTGCGAGTCCGCGCTTCACGTGCGAAAGCACATTACGCTTCATTCATGTTCATCTATAATGCCTTCCGGTTCACGCCGTTCTCCTCATTGAGTTCCGGATGCGAACGTTGGCACAAGGTTACCATGTGGTTACCAACTTACACGTCAAGCGTGACCTCCTTTTTTACTCGATAGCAGGACTGCCACTACCGCGTCACAATGCGGTGATCACCTTTTGACTCAGCAGCTTGTCTGCTCGGCGTGGCACCCATCGTTCCTAACCTCTCTTAACCGCCTCTTCTTCCCCCCCCAACACACCCCCCCACCCCCTTCTCCTTCCCCCCACCCTCCCCTTCCCTTTCCGCTTACCCCCGTCCCGTTCATTCGCTACAACCCTCTTCCCACAGCTCCCCCTCAGCCCGCCTTCCCCCGGCCCCCCTTCTTTCCCGCCAGAGGCGAACGTGACCGAAATGCTACAATACGGTTACCAGTCTAGCACGGCGACCCTGTTTGGAATCATAGCAGGCATGCTGCTGGCGGCGGGCATGGCTCTCATCTCCGTTTTCACCCCTTGCTCCTTAATCCTTTTCCTCCACCACACCCACACACCGCTGCATCCCCACACCTACACCCTGCTTCCCCTCTCCCGCGCCCCTTCCTTAACCCACCGACACCACACCCCTATCCCCATCCCCATGCAGACGTACACAGTGCCGCCAGAGGCGAACGTGAGTCAAGTGCTGGAGTGCGGTTACCAGTCGAGCACCGCGACGCTGTTTGGAATCATAGGAGGGTTTCTGCTGGCGGCGGGCATGGCGCTCATCTCCGTGCTGGGCGGCTGTGTGTGCTGTGTGACCATCCAGTACGCGCACGGGCAGGCTCTTAAAGTCAGCATTGTCTGCTACACTCTCGCATGGTGAGAACACCCTCCTTTGAATGGTGAGAGCATGCAAGCAAGCAAGCCTGCATGCCAGTGCTGGGCGGCTGTGTGACCGTCCATCCAGTACGCACATGGGCAGGCTCTCAAAGTCAACATCGTGTTCTACACACTCGCATGGTGAGAGAAAGCAAGCAACCTATCCCCTTGCATGGTGAGGACAAGCGTGCGAGCAGGCCTGCATATCATACCAACATCCCTCCACGTGTGCTGGGCGGCTGCGTGTGCTGTGTGACCATCCGGAGATCTGTCTCATGTCAGGCGGATCTCCCAACAAGGCGATCACCCCGAACCCATTCTTTCCTCTTGTAACCTGACCTTAACCCCTTCCACCCATCTCTCCTCTCTTCGCCTGCAGGGTGCGGAGGTATGTCTCATGTCAGGCTGTTTGGATCACCCCTAACCCATTCTTTCCTCCTCTAACCTGACCTGAACCCCTTCCACCCATCTCTCCTCTCTTCGTCTGCTGCAGGGTGGCATTCTTCCTAGCGGAAATGTTCTTCATGTCAGGGGGCTCCCTCAACAACTACCACAAGCCACGCCCCTCACAGGCCCCTCTACTCACACACACACATTTCTTTCCTCCTATCCCTGCTTGTCTGCAGGATAGCATTCTTCCTAGCGGAGGTGTGTCTCATGTCGGGCGGATCTCTCAACAATTACCACAAGGAGGTCACCAACTACCAATATGATTATCAGCTGCGCACGTGTTACCAGCTCAAGACGTCCACCTATATAGGTATTTGCTGTTTCTTGAAATGCTGTGTGCCAAATGCTGAGTGTTGAGTGCGCTCCAGATTCAAGAGATTATTGTGAACTGCATAGATCCTCAACAACTACCACAAGGAGGTCACCAATTGTCAATATGATTATCAGCTGCGCACGTGCTACCAGCTCAAGACGTCCACCTATATTGGTACGTCTACTTGGATTGGTGCATGCGTGCTGTGTGTTTGGTGCCGTGTGTTGAGTGCACCCAAGAGTCAAGAGTTAGCCCAAGTGTCTCGTCCCTCAACAACTATCACAAGGCGGTCACCAATTGTCAATATGATTATCAGCTGCGCACAGGCTACCAGCTCAAGACGTCCACTTACATCGGTACGTGTTGTTTGTTTCTTGAATGCCGTGCGCCAAATGCGGAGTGTTGATAGCATTCAAGAGTCAACAGAAAACTCTGAACTGCATAGTTAGTTTCTCAAGTGCCCCGCCAGTCGCAAATTTCTACCACAAGGAGGTCACCAATTATCAATATGACTATCAGCTGCGCACGTGCTACCAGCTCAAGACGTCCACCTACATCGGTACGTGTTGTTTGTTTCTTGAGCGCTTTGTGCTGCTAAGAGTACACTCAAGAGGAGGTTCAAGTCAAGAGTACACGCTTCCAAGGAGTGAGTCCCAGTGATAAGGAGTCGCCAACTATCAGTACCACTACCAGCTGCGTGTGTGCTACCAACTCAAGAAGTCGACTTACATGGGTACGTGTTGGTTTCTCGAGTGCTGTGCTGAGAGAAACTCAGTGCTGCGGAGTCGCCAACTACCACTACCACAGCTGCGCATGTGCTACCAGCTCAAGACGTCCACGTACATCGGTACGTGAGTGCTGTGTTGTGTGCTGCCATTTGCTGGGTGCTGCCATTTGCTGGGTGCTGATGGTGTGATGCCTTTCTGGCCGCATGCCTTTGTGTGTTCCCTGCCTCCCTCCATCCCTCCTCCCCCCCCTCCCGTACCCTTTCACTGTGCAGTGTTGTCAATACTGACGGTGGTGTTTGCAGTTCTCTACTAGGGGCAAGCACAGAAGTCATTTTCTGCCCCCTTTTCCCCTCCCCACCCAACACCCCCTCCCCTCTGGCTTGCAGTGGGCGCGGTGATGTCGATACTGACGGTGGTGTTTACAGTGCTGTATTACGGGCAAGCGCAGAAGTCCTCCCCATATTCCCCCCATCCCTCACCCACCCAAAAATCCCCCCTTCCTCCCTCCCTCTCCCCAACGATTTGCAGTGGGAGCGGTGATGTCGATACTGACGGTGGTGTTTGCAGTGCTGTATTACGGGCAAGCGCAGAAGTCCAAGTACGAGGCATGGGTGGAACAGGGCGCTCCCACCCCCCGCCTCTACTCCCTCGAAACCATGAAAAGCTTCGTCACTCACCATCCCTCTCCCTCCCCTGGCTGGCATTGGGAGCACTGATTCCCGTGCTGACAGTTGGAGTCGCGAAGCTGACCTCTTCCCTCCCCCCTCCTCCCTCTCCTCCCCCCCTCCCTCCCTCCCTCCCTCCCTCCCCTCCCTCCCTCCCTCCCTCCCTCCCTCCCTCCCTCCCTCCCTCCCTCCCTCCCCCCTCCCTCCGCGGTGATGTGGATACTGACTCGGTGATGTGGATGCAGTGCTGTACTACGGACAAGCACAGAAGTTCTACGGACAAGCCCTCACCCCCTCCCTCCCTCACCCACCCCTACCTCCCTACCTCCCTGGCCCCAACAACTTGCAGTGGGAGCGGTGATGTCGATACTGATGGTGGTGTTTGCAGTGCTCTACTACGGTCAACCCACATGCCTTCAAACTCTGTCCTCCTCCTCCATCCTCCGTTCTTCTTCCCTCCCCCTCCTTGCAGTGGGAGCGGTGATGTCGATACTGACGGTGGTGTTTGCAGTGCTGTACTACGGGCAAGCGCAGAAGTCCAAGTACGAGGCGTGGGTGGAGCAGGGCGCTCCCACCCCCCGCCTCTACTCCCTCGAAACCATGAAGAGCTTTGTCATTGCCGGCCCTGCTCGTGCCGGCCCTTTGAAATCGGAAGATGATGATGAGGACGATGATATGGGGGATGAGGAGGAGGAAGAGGAGTATGATGTGTTTGAGGAGGAAGAGGAGGATGAGGATGATACACGGCCGCTCAACCCGCGTCGGCTTGATGATGACGACGATGACGATGATCATAATCGCGCTCATTGAGTGTAGAGTAGGGAGAGGAGGAAAGGACAACGATGATGATGGTAATCGTCATCACTGATTGTATTGTGGGCATGTTTGGAACATGGTATATGGTAAAGGTTATTTTTTTGTGGGTGAGGGGGGGGGAGCAGGGGGGGGGGGGGGGGGGGGGGGGAAGGAGGGGGGAGGGAGAGGTGTGCTGTGTTTGATGAAGTGAAATGTGATGGGACAACTGCGATGGTGATGACGTGGGACCACCTGTCAGGCTTTATACCGGTAGCATAGGCAGGGATGATGTGATGATGACAATGATGTGTTTCTTTCACTCTGAGGACTACCAATTGGCAATAACAAAAGAGCTCAATGCTAATCTAGTCAAGTGGGTGCCTAAGTGGTTGACGTATAGTTACAATTCACAGCATTGCTAAGGTATGCATGTATAATGGTATTTTGGTAGTTACCCATGGGATGGGATACGTCCTACTCACTAGGTTGTTGAGATGCATTTATAAACAAAACTTACTTTGCATAGTACAGCAAGAATTCATTACAAGCTACCTACGCCACATTGGCAGAGCTATACTTCCACGTGCAATAATGTAGTGCAATGCTTCACAGAGAAGAAAAGGCACCTTTCTACATCTACCCCAAACTCTTTCAAACAAGTTGCCAAGAAAATATTCAAGCTCTCAAGCTGCCCGAAAATCTTCGAACGCCATTTCTGGGTGAGTGGCTTGGGGAATGCCACGAGTAACTGGCAGGCGGGTGGCAAAGACTTGGCCTTTAGTTGCTTGGAGAGCGCAGGCAGGTCAGACCCATCCAAGGAGAACTGTTCCGTTTCAGAAAGGGTTCATTAAAGAGGGAAAAGAAGGGAGTGGGGGGTGAGGGGGTGGGTTGTTAGGAGAGCGCGGGCAGATCAGACCCATCCAAGGAGAACTGTTCCATTTCAAAAATGTGAGGTAGGAGAGAGAAGGGGTCATCAGTGAGGGAAAGGACGGGAGGGGGGATGGGTGGTGTGGGTGTGGGAAGGAGAGCAGGTGAGGGGAGGGGGTGAGTCTTGAGAGAACTCTAGTCGAATCCGGAACATTCCTGGTGTGCCAAAAAAAAATCATTTGAAGAGCAGGGCCTGAAATACGCAGCCCGAACCCCTAATATAACGTCAGCAGCAGCAACAGCAACAGAAGAGAAGCAGCACCCACCTTGATAAGATGAACAGCAGCAGGGGTGGAGGCGAGGGGAGGGGAGGACAGCGGTTGCACTGCAAGGCCTGGAATGAGCGAGGAGAGGCGTGACTCCCACTGCCCCTCACGCAGGGGGAGGTGGGACCTGCGGGAGGTGGATAGCACCACGCTGTAGTGGAATGGACAGGGGGGTGAGGGATGGAGGGATTGGGTGAGGTAGGGGGGAGATTTGGGAGGTTGAATATGATTCATAGGTAAAGAGTTTCTTTTCTTTCTCTTTCATTTTCTTTCGTGGACTCGAAAATCGATTTCTACCACCCCGTAGACACAGGGAGGTGGGACCTGGGGGAGGTGGATAGCACCATGCTGTAGTGGAATGGACAGGGGGGTGAGGGATGGGGTGATGGGAAGACATTCAAAGGGTTAAGAAGCTTTACAGGCGGAAATGAAGATTGTTAGCGGTGCTGGGGGAGTGGGGAAACACGCCTGGGTTTCGAAAAAATCCACAGGTTGAGTGATGTGCAGTGCAGCAAGCATTAGCAAAAGGATGAGTTGAGCTTAAAAGGGCTGTACGGAGGATATTTTCCCGAGTTCAAATATGCTACATGGAACGTGACTATATAAAATGGTGGTAAGAACTCACCTGTTAGGAGTGATAACAGCGAGGGCTGTGGGAAAGGACATTCCATAGGAGCCCACGAGGGATATCTTGCCAAGGAGTGATCGCACACAGATGGCAGCAGGGGGAGGGGCGCTCCAGCTGGCTGTATGGCGCTGAAGCTGATAGGGGGAGGGGGAGGGGGGGGACGGAGAGGGAAGAGACGGAAAGAAGGAGGTGAAGGGAGGGAGGAGGTTGGGGAAGGACATTCTGTAAGAGACAACATGGGATATCTTGCCGAGGAGCGATCGCACACAGATGCCAGCAGGGGGAGGGGCGCTCCAGATGGCTGTCTGGCGCTGAAGCTGTTAACGGGAGAAAATGGGGGAAGGATGGGAAGGGAGGGGGGAAGGATGGGAAGGGAGGGGGGAAGCGGATGAGCCAACATGGGATATTGTGCCGAGGAGTGATCGCACACAGATGGCAGCAGGGGGAGGGGTGCTCTAGTTGGCCGTTTGGCGCTGTAGGTGATAGGGGGGAGGGGGAGGATGGGTCGGAGAGGGGGAAGAGGGTGAGGGGAGAGGGGAAGGAGAGGGGAGCGGGGAGAGGGGAGAGGGAAGAAGGGCGAGCGGAGAGGGGAGTGGAGATCGGGAAGAGGGAAGAAGGAAGAGGGAAGAGGGAAGAAGGAAGAGGGAAGAGGGAAGAAGGAAGAGGGAAGAGGGGAGAGGGGGAGAAGGGAAAGGGGAGAGGGGAGAGAGGAGAGGGAAGAGGGGAGAGGGAAGAGGGGAAGGGAAGAGGGAAGAGGGAAGAAGGAAGAGGGAAGAAGGAAGAGGGAAGAAGGAAGAGGGAAGAGGGGAGAGGGGAGAGGGGAGAGGGGAGAGGGGAAGAGGGGAGTGGGAAGAGGAAGGAGGGGAGAGGGCAGGAGGGAGATGGAAGAGGGGCAAGGGGAGAGGGGAGAGGGGAGAGGGAAGAGGGGAGAGGGAAGAGGTGTCAAACATTATATGTTATATTTGTGTAGGCTGTAGTGGGTTAGCCTATAGGGGGGTCACAACTCTAGGGTTTCCTATTTGTACTCTCATTTCCTTCTAGTCCAACAACACTTGTTCATTCTAACATGGTATCAATAGCCTAGGTTAGGCACCTAGGACCGCCTCCTACTACGGGCCCACCGTTCCGTTAGCGCCCTCGTGCGCCTCGTCTCACTTGCGCCCTCGTGCGCCTCTCTCTACTCGTGCGCCCTCGTGCGCCCTCGCGCCCTCGTGCGCCTCTTACTACCGCGCGCCCTCGTGCGCCCTCGCGCCCTCGTGCGCCTCTCGATTCCGCGCGCGCGCAGCCCGCTAGCCACCCATGCGCGGCCCGCTTGCCGTGCGCGTGACCCCTTAGCCACCCGCGCGCCGCCTCTGTAGGCTCTTGCTGCCCGTGGCATCGCCGCCTCCCTACGGCGTCGTCGCGTGCCCGTGACGTAGCCTCTGCCGGCGGCCCCTTGCCCGCCCCTCGCGGCCCCTTACCCGCCCGTCGCGGCCCCTTACCCGCCCGTCGCGGCCCCTTACCCGCCCGTCGCGGCCCCTTACCCGCGCGTCGCGGCCCCTTCGCCGCCCGTCGCGACCCCTCAGCCGCCCCTTCGCGGCTTCGTCGCCGCCACCGAGCCTGCAGCAGCAGCCGCGGCCGAGCCTGCAGTAGCAGCCGCCGCCAGACCTGCAGCAGCTGCCGCCGCCGAGCCTGCAGCAGCAGCCGCCGCCGACCCTGCAGCAGCTGCCGCCGCCGAGCCTGCAGCAGCAGCCGCCGCCGGACCTGCAGCAGCTGCCGCCGCCGAGCCTGCAGCAGCTGCCGCCGCCGAGCCTGCAGCAGCAGCCGCCGCCAGACCTGCAGCAGCTGCCGCCGCCGAGCCTGCAGCAGCTGCCGCCGCCGAGCCTGCAGCAGCAGCCGCCGCCGGACCTGCAGCAGCTGCAGCCGCCGAGCCTGCAGCAGCAGCCGCCGCTCGACCTGCAGCAGCTGCCGCCGCCGAGCCTCCAGCAGCAGCCGCCGCCGACTCTACAGCAGCTGCCGCCGCTGAGACTGCAGCATCTGCCGCCGTCGACCTTACAGCAGCTGCCGCCGCCGACCCTGCAGCAGCTACCGCGGAGCTCCCTGCTGCGACCTGGCCCCGCCCCGCAGTTGCAGCGGCCCCGCTGTCACCACCGTCTTGCGCCCGCCGCGCCTACCACTGGTGAGCTTTGCCCTACCAGCACTGCTCCCGCTACTACTGCTGCTACTGCCTTTACTACTCCCACTGCCACTACTGCTGCTGCTCCTGACGTGGCCAGATGCAGCTCCAGCAGGCTCGTGAGTGGTACGCCGGTTTGGGCAGTCAGGGTGGCCGTAGTGGTAGTCGCTCTGGAGTGCGTCGTTCGGGAGCCTCTGGTAGTGGACAGGTGCAGCAGCCGTGCCCTCTTATGCTCCAGCAGGCTCGTGAGTGGTACGCCGGCTTGGGCAGTCGGGGTGGCCGTAGTGGTAGTCGCTCTGGAGTGCGTCGTTCGGGAGCCTCTGGTAGTGGACAGGTGCAGCAGCCGTGCCCTCTTATGCTCCAGCAGGCTCGTGAGTGGTACGCCGGTTTGGGCAGTCGGGGTGGCCGTAGTGGTAGTCGCTCTGGAGTGCATCGTTCGGGAGCCTCTGGTAGTGGACAGGTGCAGCAGCCGTGCCCTCTTATGCTCCAGCAGGCTCGTGAGTGGTACGCCAGTTTGGGCTGTCGGAGTGGCCGTAGTGGTAGTCGCTCTGGAGTGCGTCGTTCGGGAGCTACTGGTAGTGGACAGGTGCAGCTGCCGAGTCCTGTGAGTGAGGCTGCTGCTCTAGGTGCTAGTACGTCTGTTGCCCTAGGTGCAGGTGAGGCTACCACTCCCGGTACTCACGTGTCTGCCACTCCAGCTACTGGTGAGCCTACTGCTCTAGGTACTAGTGAGACTGCCACTGCAGGTCCTCTCGTGTCTACCACCTCAGGTGATGGTGAGGCTGTCGCTCTAGGTGCTAGCGAGTCTGTCTCCCCTGGTACTGAGTCGACTGAGGCACTGCACACCTTCACCCTGGACTCAAGTGCTTCTCGCTGTTTCTTTCGTGACCGCACTGTCCTTGAGCCGCTTGCTCGGCCAGTTGCTGTCTCCCTCGCTGACCCCTCTGGGGGTCCGATCATTGCGACCTCCTCCACTGTTCTTCCCTGTCCTGCGGTCCCGTCTGGCACACTGTCAGGTCTCTACCTCCCCTCGTTCTCTACGAACTTGGTGGCGGGTCGTGCACTCCAGGACGGGGGTGTTCACCAGTTCACCCCTGCCTACGAGCGCGTGACACACTGCACGTGTGCTCGGACGGGCCGTCACCTGGCTACCTTCACTCGGCAGCCGGGGTCGGACCTGTACACACTGACCACTGAGTCCCCTCAGGTAGCTGCGTCCGCGTCTGCGTCTGCGTCAGGCCAGCTGTCGGCCCCCTGCTCGTGTCGCTCTCTGGCACACGACACCGTCCTCTGGCACCACCGACTTGGCCACCCATCTGTGCAGCGCCTTCGTGCCATGCACAAACGGCACCTTGTCTCTGGTCTTCCCAGGGTTCTCCCTCCCCTCCCACCCTCGCCTGCTCCTTCCTGTCTTCCCTGTGTTGAGGGGCGGCAGCGCGCCGCTCCTCACTCCTCCTCCTTTCCCCCGACGACTGCTCCCTTGCAGACGCTCCACATGGACGTGTGGGGCCCAGCCCGCGTCCGTGGTCAGGGTCAGGAGAGGTACTTCCTGATTGTTGTTGACGACTTCTCGCGCTACACCACGGTCTTCCCCTTGCGCACCAAGGGTGACGTCCCTGATGTCTTGATCCCTTGGATCCGCAGATCTCGTCTCCAGCTTAGTGAGCGTTTCCGCTCCGACTTCCCTGTCCTGCGTCTGCACTCTGACAGAGGTGGAGAGTTTTCCTCTGGCCTCTTGGAGGCCTTCTGTCAGCAGGAGGGCATTGAGCAGTCGTTCACGCTTCCGGCCTCTCCACAGCAGAATGGGGTTGCTGAGCGCCGCATTGGCTTGGTCATGGAGATCGCTCGTACCTCCCTGATCCATGCGGCTGCTCCCCACTTTCTGTGGCCGTTTGCGGTCCGATACGCTGCGCACCAGCTCAACCTCTGGCCCCGTGTCTCCTTGCCGGAGACTTCTCCGACCCTGCGTTGGACGGGAGAGGTTGGCGATGCGTCGCGTTTTCGGGTCTGGGGATCCCGAGCTTTTGTTCGCGACACGTCCGCGGACAAGCTCTCCCGTCGCGCTGTCCCCTGTGTCTTCCTTGGCTTTGTCCCGGACGCGCCTGGCTGGCAGTTTTACCACGTCACCTCGCGCCGGGTTCTGCCCTCTCAGGACGTCACTTTTGACGAGTCCGTCCCCTTCTACCGCCTCTTCCCCTACCGCACTGCCCCGCTCCCCCCCCGCCTCTCTTCCTCGCGCCAGGTGCTGCTGTGGTAGACCCCCTCCCCCCTCAGGGTGCCGCTCCCTCAGGTGTGTCCCAGGTAGACCCAGTTGAGCCTGTCGAGGTAGCTGTCGAGTCTCGTCCTGCTAGGGGTGCTGAGCCTGCGCGTGAGGAGCCTGGCGGTGCTGAGCCTGGGGGTGCGGAGCCTGGAGGTGCGGAGCCTGGAGGTGCGGAGCCTGGGGGTGCTGAGCTTGGGGGTGCTGAGTTTGGGGGTGCTGAGCCTGGGGGTGCTGAGTCTGCAGGTGCTGAGCCTGAGAGTGCTGCACCTGGAGGAGCCCTCTCCTCCCAGCAGCTGCAGGAGAGGTACCTACAGTACTGCCGCCTCCGGAGAGGTGCTGCTGGAGCTGGTACCAGTACTTCCCCTCCTACCCGGGAGCTCCCCTCCCTTCAGCAGATTCGAGAGGGGTACATGCAGCGTTGCAGTCTTCGGAGTGGAGCTCCTGCTGGTGCTGCGGACCCGGACGGTGGAGCTGCTGCTGGTGCTGAGGACCCGGACGGTGGAGCTGCTGCTGGTGCTGAGGACCCGAGCGGTGGAGCTGCTGCTGGTACTGAGGACCCGGTCGGTGGAGCTGCTGCTGGTGCTGAGGACCCGAGCGATGGAGCTGCTGCTGGTGCTGAGGACCCGGTCGGTGGAGCTGCTGCTGGTGCTGAGGACCCGACTGGTGGAGTTCCTGCTGGTGCTGAGGACCCGAGCGGTGGAGCTGCTGCTGGTGCTGAGGACCCGAGCGGTGGAGCTGCTGCTGGTACTGAGGACCCTGGCACTGGTGTCTCTGCTGGTTCTGGAGACGCTGCGCGACCGCGACCGTACTTCGTACCTCTCCTTCAGCAGGTTCTTGGTCAGGCTCCTCCTCCTTGTCCTCCTCCCTCCGTAGAGTGTCCTCCGCCTGTCCAGTCGCAGTCCCAGTTACCACCTGCTTCGCCTCTCTCTGGTCCCTCTCCGTACACTGGTCCCACAGGAGGTCTTACAGAGCGTCGTGAGCCTGCGTCTCGTCCCGCGTCGCCTGTTCGCACTGCTCGCACTGGTCGTCGTGTCCCACGTGAGCGTCCTCCTCCTGTCCCTGGCACTCACTACATGACTCTGCGTCCCTCCACTGCTCCTCAGCGTGTCCCTCTGCCGTCTCCTCCTGCGTCCTCTCTGCCTACTCTTCCTGACCCGGAGTCTGACTCCCGTCGTGCTGCCAGTCCCACTATCACGCGTCTCCTAGCTACTGTTGTCACTGACCTTACCTTTGAGTCCATCCTTCACCTGCCCCATCAGCTGCACGCATTGCTTCAGATTGGTGGACGAAATAGCTCCTCATTTTCCAACACACCCCAACCGCCCATTCCCAACCGCCCCTCCCCAACTGCCCCTTTCCAACCGTCCCTCCCCAACCGACCCTTCCCAACCCTAACGCCCCTTCCCAACCGTCCCTCCTAAACCACCCCTCACCTGCCCCATCAGCTGCTCGCATTGCTTCAGGTTGGTGGGGGTTCTCGCTTCTTGCAAGCTAGACCCGTCTCTGTCAGCTCCCCACACCCCAAAGCCCAACCGCATCTCTCAACCGCACTCACACATACACCAGACAACCACAGCTAAGCCCTCACCTGCCCCCTCAGCTGCACGCATTGCTTCAGATTGGTGGGCGAGATAGCCCGTCGCATGCTGCCCTCCCCTCCCCCCCAGCTCACCACACCCTGCCAAAGCCTCACCTTATCACTTCACCACTCTCACACACACAATCGACTGGATGCCCATCGCTAAGCCCTCACCTGTCCCATCAGCTGCACGCATTGCTTCAGATTGGTGGACGAAATAGCCCTTCGCATGCCAGCCAATCGCGTGCCAGCAGCAGCGTCATAGTTATCAGTCCAGGCAAGCTCCCAGGGGTGGGAGGTGTGGCAGAGTTGTATGCTGTTGCTGCCAGAGTTCAGTGGGTTGGCTGAGGGGGAGAGGATCCTGTTAGCGGCAGGCGCCCAAGCGATGTGCGACAGAGCCTGCAAGTGGGGAAGGGGAGGAGAATCAGCACAGCAGCAGCATCGTAATTATCAGTCCATGCGAGCTCCCAGGGGTGGGAGGTGTCGCAGAGCTGTATGCTGTTGCTGCCAGAGTTGACAGGATCAGCCGAGGGGGAGCGAATCCAATTGGAGGCAGGCGCAAAGGCCATGTGGGAGAGGGCCTGTTGGGGGGCGGGGAGGGCGAGGGATAGCACAAGGGAACAGAGGAAGCAGCGCAGTTGGAAGTGTCGCAGAGCTGTATGCTGTTGCTTCGAGAGTTGACACGATCAGCTGATAAGAAAGGAGAGGAGAGGCCCAAAGGTCCGGTGGTAGACTTACCTCTAGACCAGTGTATTTGGGTGTGCAGGGCCAGCATTTTGCTCCGTTCAGGTTCGCGCGTGATTGTAACGAGGCCACCAACACCTCTCCGTGCAATCACTGTCACCCTCTTACCTCCAGGCCAGTGTATTTCGGTGTGCAGGGCCAGCACTTTGCTCCGTTCAGGTTCGCGCGTGATTGTAACGAAGCCACCAACACCCCCCCCTGCCGCCCGTGCTTGTACGTCTGGTGGCTCACGGTGCACAGTGGCCAATCAGCACGCGCCATGTGGACGCCTGTGGATTCTATACGGGCCTGGAGGGTTGCCTCCGGGGAGAGGTTGCTGTGGGGGTGGCGGGAGGGGAAGAGGGAGGGGAAAGAAATGGGGAGAAGGGGGGAGAAGTGGGGAGTTGTGTGTGGGGAAAAAGAGATGGAAAGAAGGACAACTGTGGGTTCCGGATGGGCCTGGAGGGTTGCCTCTGGGGAGAGGTTGCTGTGGGGGTGGAGAGAAGGGGGAGGGCGAGAATGGGGGAGAAAAGAGGATAGGGGCGAGAAAGGGTGAGAAGGGGGAAGAAGAGATGGAAAGAGGGACAGCTGCAAAATTTCTTCGTATGGGGCTTAGGAATTGCCTCTGGTGAGAGGTAGCTGTGGGGTGGTGAGAAGAGCAAGGTTGAATGCGGGAGACAAGGGAAGAAGAAGGGACAAGCAAGAAGTATGGATTGAGCCCGTTTGTGTTACCCCCTCACTAGTCGGACACCCCACACACCTGAGGCCTGCTTTCACGAGCTCTTGAAGCGAGGAGAGCCGTGAGAGAACCTTCCGGGCAGCTTCCAGAGATCCCATCCCAAACGCATCGTTGACTCCACTGTAGTCCGAACCAAATGGCACCACCCACTCTTCCTCCTCCTGATCGCCTGTATCTTCTGCATTTTCTGTTGCGTTTGTTCCCTCTTTTGCTCCCGTTGCTACCTCTGCAGCCTCCCTTCCTTCTGCAGAAGCAGCTGCTGCTGCGGAAGGAGAAGCAACTGTGGCACCAGCACGGAACCAGCAGCACCAGCACCTAAAGAAGATGCGGTGGTGTTAGGAACTGGAGAGGAGAAGGCGGAGGAGAGGGAGGGCGGGGCGGACCAGTAGGAGTCGAGGCGGGAGTGGATGAGGTGGTGGAAAGGAGGCGAGGAGGGGTGGTGTTGCTGGTAGTTGTCGATCAGAGAGAGGCAGGAAGAGAGGAGACGCAAGTACTGCAGTTGAGGCTGCACAGGGGGAGCGCGGCAAGGGGTCGGGGAGGGGGAGGGTGGTGGGAGGGGTAAAAGAGGGGGAAATGAAAGGTGAGTGACGGAAAGGGAGGGAAGGTGAGGGTGAGAGGAGAGGGAGGGAGGGGTAGACCAGTAGGAGTCGAGGCGGGAGTGGACGAGGTGGTGGACGGCGAGGAGGGGTGGTGTTGCTGGTAGTTGTCGATCAGAGAGAGGCAGGAAGACGAAGTCGTAGGTACTGCAGCTGAGGCTGCACAGGAAGATATGGGTAGTGAAAAGGGGGAAGGGACGCAAGATAGGAGGGAGGGTGTGGATGAGAGGGTGGAAGGAAGGGGAGGAGGGGTGGTGGCTATGGTAGTTGTCGATCAGGGAGAGACAGGAAGAGAGAAGCTGTAGGTACTGCAGCTGAGAAGAAGAAGAAGAAGAATGAGAAGCCGAATAGTGAGAAAGAATAGAGTTGCACAGCAGAAGTAAGTACTGACCTGCATGCTCCGAGCTGTTGCGTTGTTGTAGAGCTTGCTGTCTCCCACCACCTCCTCACCGTCCACCCACACGCTCCCACCCATCTCCACCGCACCCAACTCCACATCCCCTTCCCACGCACTCTCCCCATCGACCCCCTCTTTTAAGTTCCGTCCAAACCCACCCGCTACACCGTTTTCCCCCAATCCCCCTTTTTCCTCAAGACCCCCCTTCTCCCCCTTGCCCAGCCCCCATTGCAGCGCCCACAGCTTATGGCTGTGCTCGTCCAGGGGAGCCACGAGGAACAGGACAGGTCGGTACGGACGCAGGCCCGGCAGCAGCCGAGCCACGATGCTAGGCCCGGTGAGCTCGAAGTCGCGCGCCGAACCGGTGAGGCAGACTGCGGTGCGGCCGGTGGTGGGGTTGGGCGCTTGGACTGTAGATGGCTCGGAGGCTTGTTGCTGCTGAGTGCGGGAAGGGGGAGAGAGGGAGCAAGGGAGCAACACAATGTGAGACAGACTGTTGTGCGAATGGTGGGGTTGGGCGCTTGAAAGTTGGATGGTTCTGAGGCTTGATGTTTCTAAGGGAAGGTGGTGGGGAGGGAGGGAGAGAGGGAGCAAGGGGAGCCGAACCAGTGAGGCAGGCAGCAGTGCGGCCGGTGGGGGCGTGCGCTAGGAAATGGAAGGGCTCTGAGGCTGGGAAATGGAGGGAAGGAGAGAGGGAGCAAGGGGATCCGAACCAGTGGGGCAGGCAGCAGTGCGGTGGGAGGTGGGAGGGCTCTGGCTGGGAGGTGGGAGGTGGGAGGTGGGAGGTGGGAGGTGGGAGGTGGGAGGTGGGAGGTGCGGTGGGAGGTGGGAGGTGGGAGGTGGGAGGTGGGAGGGCTCTGAAGCTTGTTGTTTCTGGCTGGGGAATGGAGGGAAGGAGCAGGAGGGCTATGAGAGAGATAAAGATGCAACATACGGCACAATGCAGCTGCGGTACCTTTGTTATTGCAGCAGCACCAGGTCACTACTCTTGCCACTTGTTGCCTGGAACGAGCCCGAGAGAGCAGCTAGACGGCGCGGTTGTAAAGCAAGAACCACGAGAGGGATTGGGGGAATGATGCGAAGTGGAAGGAAGGAAGGAAACATACAGAATGCACAGCTTATTGGAGAATGACAGCTCGGTACTCACCAATTGTTGCACTGAAGCAGGCACAAATGACTTTTGAGTCGACTCAAAATTCATCTTATTGGAGGAAGCAATGGCAGCTCGGTACTCACCAGTTGTTGCGCTGAAGCAGGCAGATACAACTGACTCGCATGCTTGCGAAGCGAAGGCCACGAGAGGAATTGCGGGAATGATGCGAAGCGGAACGAAAACTGCACAATGCACAGCTTATTGGAGCATCGACAGCCCAGTACTCACCAGTGGTTGCGCTGAAGCAGGCAGAGACAACAACTGACTCGCATGCTTGCGAAGCTAGGACCACGAGAGGAATTGGGGGAATGATGCGAAGTGGAATCAAACATGCACAATGAACAGCTTATTGGAGGGAGCAACGACAGCTCGGTACTCACCAGTTGTTGCGCTGAAGCAGGCAGAGACAACAGCTGACTCGCATGCTTACGCAGCGAGGACCACGAGAGGAGTTGGGGAGATTTGGAGGCGGAAGCAGAGGGATGAGATTGAATTGATGAGGAGAAGAGAGAGGAGAAGGATGAGGGCGATGAGGAAGAGGAGGTGGAAGAAGAAGAGGAGGAGGCTGATGTGAGAGAAGCGATGAGCACAGCTCTAGCTGCTGGTGAGGAGAGAACACCCAGAGACTCTGGCGATGAGGTCTGGTCGGCGCGGGGAGAGGGGAAAGGAGAGGGGATTAAGATACAACTTTTCGTGAGCTTTCATAAGCTCATAAGCATCTCTAGTATCTGCTGGTGAGGAGAGAACGCCCAGAGACTCTGGAGATGATGTCTGGGACGAGTGGGAGGGAAAAGGAGAGGGGATTGAAATGCAGCTTGTGAGTGACGCGATGAGAGCAGCTCTAGCTGCTGGTGAGGAGAGAAACACCCAGGGACTCCGGTGATGATGTCTGGTGGGCGAGGGGAGAGGGAAAGGGAAAGTGGAGAGGAAAGTGTATTTGGAACCTCAAGTGATACTTTTGACTGAGGTGCATGGACAAGTGAAGTGGGCCGTAAGTGCTTCATTCTTACCGAAAGTGGGCCGAAAATGCTTAGTGCTTCAATCTCTCCCGAAGTTAAATCATTCGCGATAGTGTTTCATTCTCACCCAAAGTGCTTTTCTTAATCGGAATTGCGCCATTCTCACCTGAAAGTGCTTCATTCTCACTCAAAAGTGCTTCGTCCTCACCCGAAGTACTTTTCTTACTCAGAATAGCGTCATTCTCACCCGAAAGTGCTACATTTCTCAACCAAAAGTGCCTCAGGACTCATCGGATAAGCGAGACAAGAGCGAACAAAAGCGGCATACACAGCAGTGCGGAGACGACGACGTCTGAACGCGCTTCGTGCACTCATATGAGAAGTTCTCACCCTGAAATGGTCCATGTTGAGTGGAACAGTAAGAAGCACGACGAGCGCCATGGCCGCTGCGACTCGCAAACAGCTGCAGTGATGCGGGACGCACGAGGAATGCCGGGCCTTGCGCGGCGACAATACATCGTGAACCCATGACGATTCAGAGTCTGCGTTCCACGACGAATCGGAATCGTACTTTCCGTCGCTCGGAAACGCGCTCTCGTCAGGCGTGCCGCTGATTTTCAGGGTGCAGTCGAACGGCTCGTCGCCGCTGCGGTTTTTTCTCGACTCCAGCGGGTCTGATTCCATTGCAACCATCTCGCCGGATATCGCCTTTTGAGACGTCGAAATACTTCAAAACGTCGAAATACTTCGAAACGTCGAAATGGTTCGAAACGTCGAAATACTTCGGTATGGATGCTGTGTCAACTGATGAAGTTCGGACGTCAGTGTGCTAACTCGACAAAAACAACAGCTGTGACTCACGTCCGTACTCCTAGTGAAGCCAAGTCTAGGGCTGAGCAGTTTGTGTTTTGTTGTGACCACCTGAGATTGTGCACGTGCGACGTTCTTGTCCTAGCAAACTGCTAGCTCGTACAAAAAGTAGGTGAAGCAACGAAAGTAACCTCGCGACTATTCTAGTCCAGGTGACGGCAGCTTTTGTGTGTTGGATTACAAGCCTCAAGAAATAGTTGGAGAAGACGACAACCACTTATCAGAATTCACGTAATCAGCTTATCGGGTACATTCCAAATCCCCCCAATGTCTGCGCGAAGTGCATCAGGGCCGCCATTGGGATTTCATTTCGCTTCTCCACCTCGCACCGCCTTTTCGACAATTACAAGGCTAGGCGAAATCTGTGCGAACACAAAGTTCTCTTTCGTCAACACATGTCGACGTGTATCGGATGCACGGCGACACCTTTTTTAGCTGTCACCACCGCCACACATCACTCCACCACGCCAATCTGTGGTGGAGCGAGGCTGATTGATGAGACAGCCAATCAAGTTCCGTCACGGTGGGATAGAGGTTGGTTAGAATTGACTCGATACAGATGACCTTCAACACAAACGCTATTTCTTATTCTCAACGAATACGTTTTGTGTTATCAATGATACCTAGAAAATAGCAGCAATAATGGCATGCGTGTTGAATGAGTCTAGGAACCAACGTGCCTTGTAAGTGGCTTCGTATGCTAGTGGAGCTATATGGTAGCAAGTCGCAGTTACGTATATCACAGCACAGTTACAGAAGGGCCTACGAAAAGATGAAAATAATCCATAACAAAGAAGAATAACTTTCACTCCCGTTTGAACCAGTGACATTCAGTTGACATCTCCAACTCAGCTTTACAAAAAAACACAAAGCTAGCTATCTTTAGCAAAATAAGGAAGTCATGTATCTACTCTAGGAAGTACCCAGAAACAAAGCCCAAAAATGCGGCAAAAATAGACCCCCAAATGAGCAGCCCCTTCTGAGCCGAGGTGAGGGAGTTGCCTCCCAGCCCGTAGGCCTGGTTCTGGGCGAACCCCGCTAGCTCCTTGCTCAGGCTGCCGAATGAAGAAGGCGCCGACCCACACGTGGGGCACAGCCAGTCGTCAGGCAGCTCCGTGAGAGCCACACCTGGAGGGAAACAGAGAAGGAGAGCCAGAAGAAACAGCGTGTGTGTAAATAAATCCTATCCCAGTCTTCGACCCTGCTAGCTCCTTGCTCAGGCTGCCGAATGAAGAAGGTGCCGACCCACACGCGGGGCACAGCCAGTCGTCAGGGAGCTCCGTCAGAGCCACACCTGGGGGGGAAACAGGGGACGAGGGAGAAGGGGTTGGAGAAAGGAACAGAGAGAACATTGGTAAAGCTACCTCAAGCGAGTTCCCCTTGCTCGGACTGCAGAATGGATTGGGTGCCGACCCACATGAGGGGCACAGCCAGCCGTCAGGGAGCTCCTGGAGGGATACACTTGGGGAAGGAGAAACAGTGGATGTGCTGATCATCTCTATTGCAATACCTGCTAGCTGCTTGCTCAGCAGCACTAGGCCAAAGTTATGGATCTGCAACCATGTCTTGGATCTGCAACCACCTCGGTTGGGATGTTGACTCAGGCGCAGTACTCACCCGGAGCAACGGGATAAGATGGGTCGCCCTTGAAATGATCGTAGATGTACCCGCACGACTTGCACTCCCACTTGCCCGTGTTGGCTTTTGAGGCACCTCAAAAGTGGGGTGCAGCAGTCAGGCTCACCTGGTTAGCTGAAGTTCAACTTGGGTGCAGCACTCACCCGGAGCAACGGGATAAGACGGGTCGCCCTTGAATTGATCGTAGATGTACCCGCACGACTTGCACTCCCACTTGCCCGTGTTGATCACTGCAAACTTCTCCTCTGCAGGGATGAATCACATGAAAAGACGGGTGGGGACGGGGGAAAAAGGGGACAGGCTGAAATGTGGCAGGTGCCTGGCGGCTGGATGAGTGACCGCACGACTTGTACTCCCACTTGCCCGTGTTAATCACTGCAAACTTCTCCTCTACGGGGGGGGGGGGGGGGGAGGGGGGGGGGGGGGGGAACGCAAGGACACGCACAGCGCGAAAAAGGAGGTGAGGTGGGTGAGCTTGGGCGGAAGGGAGGAAGGGACAAGGTAGGGGGGCAGTCGCCTACAAGTCGCACGACTTGCACTCCCACTTGCCCGTGTTAATCACTGCAAACTTCTCCTCTGCAAGAAAGATATACACAGAGGTGGACAGGGAAGGGGTTAGGTGGCAGGCAGGCAGGTATGGCACAGGCGCCTACTGACCTCACAACCTGCGCAATTGTGACTGCTCGCAAACTAGGCATTGTTTGGCCCACGTCAGAGTTGGCTAAAAAAACGTTGCCCATGGGTATCAGCAAGCAATGGCCGACACGATCTGCACGGTGAGAAGACTGCTATGTGTTGGCCACTAATTGTTTCTGGAGAATTCCCAACAGCCGTTTCAGGCTTCTCGCCTCGAGAAAGGGAAGGGTTAATGAGGGGTGTACGGCGGAAGGACAGGCGATTTGATTCACTGTTCAAAAATGAGGGTTCGGCAGCGGCGGCGGCTGTAGCGCCTACTCCCATCCAGTCTCGGAGACCTACTCATCACGCGGCTCACCTTCCCGTTTAATGCCGCCCTTGGCGGGTTCGGCGGCGGCGGCTGTAGCGCCTTCCTCCTCCGCTGCTGCTCTCACGACCACACGCCGGTGAACGGCCCTGCTTTGCCGCTGCTGCTGCTTCGACGCCTGAAAGAGAAGGTTCCAGTGAAGGGGATGGGGAGGGTGAGGGGCGGAGGGGGGAGGGGGGTGAGGGGGAGGAGGGTAGGGGGTGGGTAGAGGGGGAAGGGAGAATGTGGAGGGGAGGGGGGGGATTGAGGGTGAAGATGAGGTGGGTGGGGAGAGGGAAGTGGAGCTTCACGTGCGACGAAATACAGCATTTAGGAGTTTACTTAAAAAAAAACGGCGGCTTGAACTGTCTGTCTGGTTGAGTTCGGTGAAACACGACATTTGTCAGCATAGATGCGGAGTGATGAATGACGGAATAAGTGTGAGTATTAGCTTGCAGATGCATTCGTGAGTTGAAATTGATTCGACTGCTTGATACAACAAAGGCAGGGTGGAAGTGCGGGGTGATGTGACGTACATGTAGCAGTGGTAACCCGAGTGGCTTCGCGGACACCTGATGCGACGGGACGGTGGAGTTGAAGGTGGGAAAATGGCAAGAGTGAAAGTAAACGGGAGATTACATCAGGTGAAAGAACGTGGGACGGCGCCTTGCAGCTTGGCTTTTCGGTAGCTGCTTGTACAAAACCACATCCCAAAAGAAAAGCTGTTGAAAATAATCCAGGAAACAAGCAGGCTTGCTGAAAGTTAAGAACATTTGGATGCAGAAATTTCAGTCAACGGGGAGTGCGAACATCGCTCCTTTGCAATTGCAACATTCTGACAGAAAATCTAGTTAAATCGACTCATTTGATCAATCAGGTGCCAGCATTTGCGAACGACTAACCGCGTTGGATGAGCGTGAGTACAGGCTGGCAGAAGGAGCCACGCACGCAGTCGCCACGTGGCTGGTAAGAGCAGCGGCCGACGCCATCCTAGTTGCTACTGCTATATACTTGACGCAGATCACGTGGAATGGTGGATTTTAGCAGTAGCGCATGGACGCGACGGAGGCTCGGCGGTCACCTGTTTGCGGAAAGAAAGCAGGAATGGAAACAAATCTGACAGTACTTCTTGCTTGATAGGAACTTGGGGGTAAGGAGCTGACTAGGGGCGCGTCCCCTCCCTCGATCGATCCTGCCCTCGATCGATCGAGGGACAGGTAAAGGTCGCAATTGACAGGGTAACCAGATTTCGAGGAGGCTTGCGAATGTACAGTATTTTGGTGCTCAACGATCTTGTCACCTCCCCTGATGACGATCGATGTGCCTTCCCCGCCGCACCGATCTCGGCTTTTGAAGGATCGAGAGTTTTTCCCCCTAAAATTCTCGATCCTGTCACCCAGGGCTCGCGATCGATCCGCGACTGTCACCTCCTACCAATCCCGCCCCAATCCTGCGATCGGTGTGCCCGATCGGTTTTCCACAGCGATCTCGCGATCGATCGAGGTGTCGGAGGACATTCTGTGGGTATTTTCTAGGTATCCTAATGTGTAATGGAATCTGAGAAACGCGACGTTTCGCAACGTGCGTTGCGACGGTAACAGCGCAGCAAGCGAAGACGAATATCCTGAGGGCTGAGACGGAAGGTAGCGTGGCTGAACGAGTTATGGGCACGTGGAGAATTGTAACTGAAGAGATCTCCGATGGGATCTGGCGCACCGAGATTCGTGAGGCCAGGTTCGTATTGTGCACGTGTCAGTAACTGGTGACGTGGATATTCGTAGATTCCACGTCTGTTGACTTCAATTCGTGGGCTAGGGTGATCCACCTCCCACGCCAGTCGAACTGGAAGGTTCGCCAGATGCCGCGTGCGCCCAACTTGCAGAAACGTTTCAGTGTATTAAGAAAAAGGATAATAACTGATTGAATTAAAATCTCTTACAACAAATATGAATAAGCAGCTCAATGCTGAGCCTATTTCCAACACTACCAACCACCAACCAGAGGTGGTTGGTATCGCCAATAGAATTTAAGATCGTTTGCGCTTGCCTCCAGAATTTTTCGCCTGTGATGTGTTTCCTTGTTTCTCCTTCATCCGCTTATTATTCGCCCCCTCCTTCCCCACAAGCTTGTGCTTTTGCTTTTCCTTGCCCTCGCCCTTTTTCATTATCTGCTCCCTTGCCTCCTGCTGCTGCTGCTGCTCCTTCAACCCGATGCTGTCCCCCTCCCATACGGCTCCCCACCCAGCAACACCAACACCACCACCGCTGCTGCTCCGCTCCATTTGTGCACTTTTAGATATTGCGCTCCCACCGACCGTAACACCAACTTTACCTCCTCCTTTGCCTGAGGCTACACTGCCACCTCCTCCAAAAGCCTTTCTCGTATCGGTACTAGCCCTTGCAAAAGGTTTCTTTGATTTTTCAGAAATTCCCACTCGACCTCCTCCTCCCTTCCCCTTTCGCACCACTGCCGTCCATCCCTCCCCTCCTTCCTCCTCTTCTTGCCCATTCGCAGCAGCAGCCGCAGCAGCTGTAGCAGACGCAGCAGATGCAGCTATGGCAGCGGAAAGAGAAGCCGCGGAACCGAGAGGCGTAACACTGGTGGTAACCGCATCGCCGGATGTAACAGTGACAGTTCCCGCAGGTGTGATGGCAAGAGTTGAAGAAGTGGAGAGGGATGAGGAGGAGCTTGGAGGGCGGAGGAAGGAGAGGGAGGAGAAGAGAGAGGAGAGGAGGGCCGTATCTGGGGGAGATGGTGGCGTTTCTGCCTGTGAAGGGGTGCGGGGGAGAAGGGGGAAGTGTGGGGAGGACAAAGAATCAAGAAGGGAGAGGTGAGGAAGGAGAAGAGAGAGGAGAGGAGGGCCGTGTCTGGGGGTGAAGGTGGCGACGGCGTTGCTGCCTGTGAAGGGGTGTAGAACAAAGAGGGAGGAAGGAGGGAGAGGACAGAAAAAGGAGTGGAGGGTGGGGGGGGAGCGCAGCCTGTGACAGAAAAAGGAGTGGATGGTGGGGGGGAGCATAGCCTGTGACCTGTCACAAACATGCATTGCATTGGTGAGAGGCATACCTGTGGAGTTAAGGATGATAGATGGATGGTCGCACAGGACCGCCGCTGCTGATTTTCCTTTCCAGACATCTCCAAGTAAATACATACCTGTGGTGTTGACGATGATGGATGCATTTATCTTGGGGAAACCTGTAAAAACATACCTGTGATGCTAGATGGATGATCGCACAGGACCGCTGCTGCTGGTTTTCCAGACATCCCCAACTAAATACATACTTGCGGTGTTGGCGATAATAGATGGATGGTCGCACAGGACCGCTGCTGCTGCTGCCTCCTTGCCTCAGCACGAGCCAGAAGCTTCCTGGAAAGACAAAAGGGACCAAGAAATGTTTGAGTAATATTGATGGTACAAGGTTAGTGTGCCATATTAAAAATAAGAACACAGAAGCTGAATTCCCTGTATGTGCTTATGACCGCAGTTTATGACCTCTGAATCTCATAGACTAAGTTGAAACCCTTCAAAACCTTGGTAATTCTCACACTCGCAGCAAAAAAAAAACATAATACCGCATAATACTAATATACTTGTGCTTACTGTGGCCAGAATAAGCACTGGTATGATGTGAAGCATACCTGCATGAACCGACCGAAGTCAACCGATACTCATCACTGTAAATGAAGAAAAAACTGGCAGTTGTAATCAGCATGCTTACCAAAGGGCTGCACTTTTAGTTAACAGTGGCTGCACTTACTTGGGAGTGACAGTCAAGATGACGCGGATCTGATGTCGTGTGAGTCCAGCTAGTGTCAGCAAGGCCGCCACGTCAGCAGGCCTTTTCAGCTGACGTGCTGATGAGGCACCACAGGATAGAATCAGGCTCTTGCCACGTGTCACCTCAGACACCTCCTGTCATGCGGAACAGAAGGAAATAAGTATCTAAAACAAACTGTTGTAATATATTATCCAAGGTCTGAGAGCATGTAATCGTGGCCCTGGTACCAAGGGCGTTGCTACTAGAAAGCAGCCTGTAGTTTAAAACGTCTCCAAAACTTTGAGATGACAAAAGGCGAATCACCAGACCGCGATGCCTAGTTGTGACAAGGGTGCTGGTGGTGGTACGGAGCGGTTGGAATTTAAAAAACGTCTCAAAACATTTAGGATGTCTCACCTTGATGCCCTACAACAGGGATGCTGGTAAGGAGCGGTCCTTTCAAGGCTTGACCGCAGCAGCCTGACTGAGCAGCCTGACTGAGCAGCCTGACTGAGCAGCCTGACTGAGCAGCCTGACTGAGCAGCCTGACTGAGCAGCCTGACTGAGCAGCCTGACTGAGCAGCCTGACTGAGCAGCCTGACTGAGCAGCCTGACTGAGCAGCCTGACTGAGCAGCCTGACTGAGCAGCCTGACTGAGCAGCCTGACTGAGCAGCCTGACTGAGCAGCCTGACTGAGCAGCCTGACTGAGCAGCCTGACTGAGCAGCCTGACTGAGCAGCCTGACTGAGCAGCCTGACTGAGCAGCCTGACTGAGCAGCCTGACTGAGCAGCCTGACTGAGCAGCCTGACTTAGCAGACTGACTGAGCAGCCTGACTGAGCAGCCTGACTGAGCAGCCTGACTGAGCAGCCTGACTGAGCAGCCTGACTGAGCAGCCTGACTGAGCAGCCTGACTGAGCAGCCTGACTGAGCAGCCTGACTGAGCAGCCTGACTGAGCAGCCTGACTGAGCAGCCTGACTGAGCAGCCTGACTGAGCAGCCTGACTGAGCAGCCTGACTGAGCAGCCTGACTGAGCAGCCTGACTGAGCAGCCTGACTGAGCAGCCTGACTGAGCAGCCTGACTGAGCAGCCTGACTGAGCAGCCTGACTGAGCAGCCTGACTGAGCAGCCTGACTGAGCAGCCTGACTGAGCAGCCTGACTGAGCAGCCTGACTGAGCAGCCTGACTGAGCAGCCTGACTGAGCAGCCTGACTGAGCAGCCTGACTGAGCAGCCTGACTGAGCAGCCTGACTGAGCAGCCTGACTGAGCAGCCTGACTGAGCAGCCTGACTGAGCAGCCTGACTGAGCAGCCTGACTGAGCAGCCTGACTGAGCAGCCTGACTGAGCAGCCTGACTGAGCAGCCTGACTGAGCAGCCTGACTGAGCAGCCTGACTGAGCAGCCTGACTGAGCAGCCTGACTGAGCAGCCTGACTGAGCAGCCTGACTGAGCAGCCTGACTGAGCAGCCTGACTGAGCAGCCTGACTGAGCAGCCTGACTGAGCAGCCTGACTGAGCAGCCTGACTGAGCAGCCTGACTGAGCAGCCTGACTGAGCAGCCTGACTGAGCAGCCTGACTGAGCAGCCTGACTGAGCAGCCTGACTGAGCAGCCTGACTGAGCAGCCTGACTGAGCAGCCTGACTGAGCAGCCTGACTGAGCAGCCTGACTGAGCAGCCTGACTGAGCAGCCTGACTGAGCAGCCTGACTGAGCAGCCTGACTGAGCAGCCTGACTGAGCAGCCTGACTGAGCAGCCTGACTGAGCAGCCTGAAAAAAGCAGCCTGACTGAGCAGCCTGACTGAGCAGCCTGACTGAGCAGCCTGACTGAGCAGCCTGACTGAGCAGCCTGACTGAGCAGCCTGGGCAGCCTGATCACCTCACCTTGATGCCTTGTAGCAGGGGTGGCAGTAACGAGCGGTCCTTCAAGGCAGGTCCGTAGCAGAACTCAAACACCCGACCAGCCTGCTGCAAACCAAGCTGTGGAAGCAAGAGACTCACCTCAACTTGATACCCTGTAGCAGGGGTGGCAGTAACGAGCGGTCCTTCAAGGCAGGTCCAAAGCGAAACTCTAACACCCGATCAGCCTGCGAAAAAGCAAGCTCTGAAAACAAGTATGTAAGCTTACCTTGATTGATCACCTCACCGTGATGCCTTGTAACAAGGGCGTTAGTAACGAGCGGTCCTTCAAGGCAGGTCCGTAGCAGAACTCAAACACCCGACCAGCCTGCGAGCAA